AAAAAAAAAAAAAAAAAAAAAAGAAAAGAGAGAAAAAAAGAAAAATTTTGATATGTTCAAGATTTAGAAAGTTGGCATCGCGTTGAAAATATAAATACGCGTTAAATCAATGATACCGAGTTTGCGCATCCGACTCGGTTTCAATCATCTCTGATACACAGATTTTCTTCTCAGCGTCGATGTTGTCGATTCGCTCGTTTTAACTCTTTCGCAAAGAACAGATCTTCTTCGCGATTGATGTTCGACCGTTCTCTTCTATAACCTCTGTTCGTTTTCATATCTAGTAACTTTCACCTTCTATCTTTCCCATTTTGTTATCGTCAATCTAAGCTTCTCTTCCCCTAATTCCGTTTTATCCCCGATACAGTCGTTGCGCCTCTGTTGTCGCCGCTTTCATCGTTGCAGCCTCCATCGCCATCATCCCTACTACATACCACCAGCACACCATCACCGTTGCTGTCGATGTCACCAACGACACTACTACCATTACCATTAGCTGATATTCGTCTACTACCTACATTCCCGTTTTCAGGGGTGTTGCGAGCACGCGCTCGCACCAGCAGAATAGCGTTACTCCCAAAACGTTCGAGTCAACGTAGTAGCGTAGTAAGAGTAATGCGCGCGCGCTAGACAACTAACCAGCCACCTTTGGTTCGAGCGTAAAGCGACTTGTACACCATCTTTGCCCGATTTTCATGAGAAAGTGCCATCGAAACGGAGTTATCTCGCGCGTAATAATTAATTTTCTTTATTCGTAAACAACGTATATTTTCACCGTATGATATTTTCGTATATCGTATCGTGTAACACGCTCGTAACGCGTGCAAATACTTGATTTTTCTATCATTTTTTTCTTTCTTTCAACTCCTCCGTATTCCCCTTCTTTGCATCGTATCCACCCCCTCTGTGCTCTCTCTCTCTCTCTCTCTCTCTCTACAATTACTCTCTTGTCCCACCCTCGTCCTTCATTCTTTCGGGCTCTCTGCGCGTTACGGTGTGAACATACTTGAGAGATCGCGCGACAAGGCGGTAATCGGTTGTGCAATCGTGAATCGCACAAATGAATTGTGTCGACATCGCATTGAACCATGTCTAATTTATACGTGAAAAGGAAAATATACGTTGATTTGGGAAGGATACGATAATAAAGAGGAACATCGACTTACGGTCCAGGAGGTGGTTTGACGTAGGATCGTTTTTTTTTCGTTTTTATCTCTTGGTTAGTCGTTCGGTCCTTCGGGCGATCGGTCGATCGGGTATTCATACGCGCGTACGTCGAAGACGATTTTATTTTTCAATTAATTCAATTATTGAGAGAAACTTTGGTTGCTAAAATGTTTACGATCAAGAGAACTGCATGTTGGAGGTGAATTATTACGTGCCGTTAAACTTGAATTAATCGACTACTCTTTTTTTGCTTAAGTCTTGATTATTGTCATCGTTTTCGTCATCGTTCTCGTCGTGACCGTCGTGATTATCGTTGTCGTCGCCGTCGTCGCCGTCGTCGTCGTCGTCGTCGTCCTCGTCGTTGTCATCGTCGTCGTCGTCGGCGTTACGTCGTCTCGCTGTCGACGACACATTTGAACAATGATTCGATTTGAAATTGAAAGATAGAGATTTAAAATTCGATTGGACAATGCTTGGCGTAAGAATACGTTTAAGTATTTATGAGAGGAAAACGTTGAAAACGTGCGTAATGAAATGAAAGGGATTTTTGACGTTCAACGACCATTCTATTAGCGTAGTTTCGACCGTCAGGTGTAAAGAAATAATGTTAAAAGAAGAAGATGAAAGAAGGTGAAGATACATATGTACAAACTTCTACGTACTAGCGTATACAAGCGTTACAAAGTTGTGTATCAAATAACGGATAAACAAGATTCCATCGAAACGGTAAATTTACGCACGTAACGCTCGCGTGTTCCGGCCGATCGATCGCTACTACGAGGGAGCGGTAAGACTAATTTTTTTTCGAGAAGTTACTTTAAATTAACGTATACGTTTCTTTTAAAAGATTCGTTCGTTCGTTTCATCATTTACTCGTATTCGGGTGTTGGTCGATAGCATCGAAATAATGTTTCTATCCGTCAAAAAATTTGTACACTATGGAGTGTTGTTACTGTTATGGATCAAATCAAGTTATCAGCAAGAAGAGGATATACCTCATAACGAGTAAGAATCATTTTTTTTTACACGTATTAGGCATAATTCTTAGGTTTACGATTAATTTAATTAATTTATCGAAACTAGTAGAATTTATATACAGAACGATTAATTCGATTAAGCCGGTATAAATAAAGTAAAAAAAGTAGAGAATAGAAGAGAAAGAGTGGGTAGAATATCTTAAGAAAAAAGTATCTTTCGTTTAATACTCCATCCCGTTTATTTACATACTAGCATAGTAATTGATCGAACGCGATTATCAATGAAAAAAATTAAAATTAAAAAATATGGAGCGTGGTTAGGGGATGAAAAAAAGGTGAAAAAAATGTGATATCACAGCGTGTGATACAGATACATCATATATATTTGTTCGCGTGTTTCTAATTTCTGATTTTATACCAACATTTTCAATAATCGTGTACAGAAAGAAACGAGAATTGGAAAGAACGCAGGCGCGCGTAGAGTTATGCGTACACAGTCGATTAACGAGGATCAGAATCGGCGTGTATGCGTACGACCTACGTGCGTGCGCACGTGAGCATGCACGTAACTACGTACATAGGATTGCATCAATGGTACTAATTTACGCGTTAAGATATATAACGTGTAAAAGGTGATAGGCGGAATAATCGTTGATTTTCGATCTATCTTTATTTTTGCCAAATTCAGATCCAATTAATTATAGATCGATCCAACAATATGCAATTCACTTTCTTCCCTATGTTAACGATATATATTTACAATTGTTTATCGATATTTATCTTTAAAATTAAAATTAAGTTAATTTTTTACTCTTTATCCTTGTCCTCTAAACGAAGAAAATAAATGGAAAAATTCTTCTTTCGAAGAAAATGATTATTCTTATTACATTGCAGAGTGAAAAACTGGGCATTGAAATTTGGAGTGGATTTATGGGAATTTGGCAGACAAGTTACGAAAATGAGTGAAATACAAAGGGTAAGGAAATTGCTCCTGAATAGATAACACGATATATCTTATATTCTTAATCGTTATCAATTTGAAATTAGCAGTTGAATTAAACATTCGACATTTATTTCGTTATTACGTATATCCATTGGTAAAAATCTTTGATATTTATCAATTATTATTTCGACAGAAAATTAACGAGTTATGTATGTATACATTGGTCGCAAAACGTTCATATATTCTACGCTTTGTCGCAATCGCTTGTAACATTTTCATACAATTTTTGCGTTTGTTTTTACCTTTAGAATCGATTCTTTAAAAACTATTCTATATATATATATACACGTTGGAAGGAAAAGTAAAATTGACAAATATAAAAATAATACGAAAAACTCACTTTGATCGTAGAAATATCACGATATGGAGGCCGAAGTTGTAAAAAAAGATGGTGTCCTGTTAGTACGAGAAATGGCTGCGGAAGTGAAAAACATGTTAGATTTTAAAATGAACGCTGTTATGGTAAGAAAGTGAAAATATTATAATAGAAACGAAATACATCTATCATGGTATTAATTAACGCGATTGCAGAGATTGGTGGAGAGCGCCGAACAAGCGGCTGTATCGGCACCCAGAGACGGAAATGTAGCACCAAAGTATTACGCTTCTCAACGTTTCGACTCTTCTTCGGGAGAAGGAAAAGCATCGATAACCGTACAAGAAACATTCCTTTCATCGAATCGACATTTCGATCATTTAGCCGTAAACGTTACACTTTCCACGGTTTTATTACCGGATGGAGTGAAACAAATTGGTAATTAAAAAAAAAAAAAAAAATTGCATATATAATTGATAAAAAAGACACGCAAGTTTAATATTTCCTTTCTTTCAGATCGCGAAGTAGCCGCTGGCATTCAATGGAGCGAATATTTGGACTTATTGTTCGTTAATAATTACGAAAGCGATTCTTCGCTTTCTTGGCAATATTACGGCGCGACTTCAGGATTTTTAAGACGTTTTCCCGGTAAAACCAAATCCAAGATTTCTTTTCCCCTTCACTTTCGTTAATTTCAACTCTGTCGTTTCGTTTCACCATCGCATTTTCTCTTCTTCTCTCAGCAATTTCCTGGCCACCCGTCAACGATCGTTCTTTCGCTGCGGATAAAAGTCGAGCTGTTCGAGATGTATACGAGTTTCGAATTTCCGATTGGTTCGTCGGAGCCGCAAATAGTCCCAAAGACTTGGCCATATTGATCGATATCGAGTGCTACGTATCCGAAAGGAACAAACGGCTAGCCGTAACCACGGTCAAAACTATCCTCGACACGTTAGGTCCGAACGATTACGTTAACGTCTACCGTTACGGAGACACCGCAGAGGAGATCGTACAATGCTTCAAGGATAGTTTGGTGCAAGCATCGCCGGAAAACGTGCATGATTTGAAAATAGCGATGAGTTCTATGAAACACGAAGAAATACCGACAAATATATCCGCCGCTCTCGCGACTGCTTTCGAAATTTTGCACAGATACAACAGAACGGGGCAAGGAAGCCAGTGCAACCAGGCGATCATGTTAATTACTGCCGACAATGCCGGTTTACCAACAGAGGTGATAAAACGATACAACTGGCCTCATATGCCTGTTCGTATCTTCACGTATCTAATCGGTGGTGACAAAAGTCCGGAATTACGCAACACAGCATGCGCCAACAAAGGTAATCCTACTTTTCTTTTATTTCTTTTCTTTCTTCTTCTATCGACCAAAATGTACAATTTTACAAAATTCGTTCGATATCGTTCGATATCATCGTATTTATACGCGTAATTAGGATTCTATGCAAGGATCACCGAATTGGAAGACATTAGAAGCAAAGTCTTCGAATACGTAAAGGTGCTTGCTCGACCTATGGTATTGTATCAACACGAACACCCTATTCATTGGAGTCCGGTTTACGTCGGTGGAAAGGTGTGCAAATCAAAGATTCTCATTTTTAATCGTGCCTATATATTATTTAAAAGCAACTTCTCTTTCCGTTTTAGAGCAGCAGATATGGCAAAGAGAATATCGGACAGTTAATGACTTCGGTCACGGCGCCTATTTTAGATCGACGAAATTATACGGTAATCATACGTCCGATCGTTTGCAATTATATTTTTCGATGCATTTTTACATACATTCAATTTCAAATACTCGAAGACGCGTTATAAAGTACGTATAATCATACATCTCGCAATTGTAATATCATAATCACGATATCGCAGGTGAAGACAGCTAATTTATTGGGTATCGTCGGCACCGATGTACCCGTAGAAGAGATACAGAAATTGGTTCCCCCTTACAAGGTAAGCAAAAAATTACAAGGTATCATTGCTTTCAAATTAACGATAATTATAATTAATTTCCATAACGTCGATTTGTGCAGTTAGGTGTCAACGGATATTCTTTTATCGTCGACAATAACGGCCGTGTTTTGTATCATCCGGATTTGCGACCATTGGTGAGTAGCAGTAAATTTGAACAAAAGATTCGCCACCTTAGAGGAAATTCATTTCGAAATGACTTTCGTGATTTCACTCATCGTTTCGTTTCTTTCTATCGACGCAGCCGGGAAACATAGACGTAAGTACATACATGTAATATATACTATTTTATAATCGCATATATGAAAATATATTTCCTCCGTTGTAGTACGAGGAAACGTTAAAACCTACGTACATCAGCGTTGACTTATCGGAAGTCGAACTCGCCGAATATGACGGCCCTTTACATCCATTAAACAATTCTCTTCTTCTCGACGTAAGTGTCTCAATTTATTCTATCCCTAAATAATATCGCTCGCATATTTGCTTGGGATCGATACGATTCTTTTTATTTATTATTACCGTTATCTTCGTTCTCAAATGACACGAGAAAAAGGAGACAAATCGTAAACTTAGATTCTTTAGAAAAGAATAGAACGTGATCTCGCTTTGTCGCTAAACTATTTCGAAGAAACATAAAGGATTTATAGCGTTTCTTTGCGGAATTTCATTTTGA